TGGGAAAAGGGGCATATGATTAAAGTTACTGTTAATTGGGAAATGCAAGAGATGTCCCCTAACAAGTTGGAAATTGGGAAAACAAACTTTTCTGTAGGATTTAAACTCTATGAACACCATGTGTTGGTGTGAATTTAGACATGCATCACAGGAAAGCCAAAATGTGTTTTCCTGCATGCTAGGTGAATAATTGTATTAATATATCCAAAGATTTTAATAGGCCATACTATTAGATAGTAGGAGCTCTGATGACACAGTGATTAAGCCCTAGGCTGTTAGCTGAAAGGTCAGAAGTTGAAACCCACCAGATACTCCATGGGAGAAAGATGTAGCAGCCTACTTCCATAAAGTTTATAGCCATGGAACCCCGTTGGACACTTCTACTATGTTCTTTAGTATCACTATGAGTCACTATCGACACGACTGTAAGGGGATTGATTTGGATATTAGAGAACATATCAGAGCCATAGAAGCAAATGTTGTCAGTACCAATGCAATGGTACCTGAGGATACAGAGCTTTAGCCAATGAGCATCAAGTATTCTAAACCCATTAATGGAACATTCATATGGTGATATATCAGCCTGCTGTCATTAAACATTCAAATCATCTAATTTTACATGGTCTGATTTAATCAGCCTTAAGGAAACCTATGAATTTTGTGCAGACATGGAGATAACTTGCTGATTTTGAGGCCTTTGGGGGTTCCTTGTCTCTGTAGTGGTTATTTCTCATAGATAATATTGACCTACAATTGTGATTTTGGAGAAAAGAAACACTGACCAGAACTTTGAAAGTATTTATAAGCTAACAGCTGTATTTTCACAGCAAGCTAGTATATTGGCATTCTGGTCTCTACTTGCCTCATGCATTTTCATTAATCTGTAAAAGCTCTGCAGGGTTTGTTTACCTTTGGGTGCAGAAAAGGAATAACTTCTTGATCTTTACATTGTGGAATCATATCCCATGTTTTATTTTTCCCCTTGTTTCTTCTATGACTTTGAGAATCACTTTTGCCATTTTCTGAATGCTAGATTTTTAAAGCAGTTACTTAGCATCAATATCCCTTGGCTTCTGTAAAAACAATCAGATGTGAGTTGAAAGTAAGTAAGGAATTTAGAACTGAGAGAAAAAAAAAGATAGGTATCTAAAGCAGGACTTAAGTTGTATGCAAATTAAACACAATCTTAGACAAATACTGGAGCAGTGAAGAAAGAATACCTATTGAGTATGTCT